CACACCTGTCAGAATAGCTATTATCAACAAATAAGTGCTGGTGAGGATGCAAAGGAAAAGGAACCCTTGTGCACTACTGGTGGGAATGCAGACCAGTGCAGCCACTGTGGAGAACAGTAAAGAGTTTCCTCAAAAAACTAAAAATGAGACTGCCATTTGACCCAGTAATCCCAGTTCTAGGAATAGATCCCAAGAAACTAGAAATACCAATCAAAAAGGATATATGCACCCCTATGTTCATAGCAGCACAATTCACCGTAGCTAAGATTTGGAAACAGCCTAAATGCCCATCAGCAGATGAATGGATTACAAAACTATGGTACATCTACACAATAGAATACTGCACTGCTATAAAAAAAGAAGTAATTCTTACCATTTGCAGCAGCATGGATGGACCTGGAGAGCATTATGTTAAGTAAAATAAGCCAGGCAATGAAAAAAAAATACCACATGATCTCACTCATTTATGGAAAATAAAGAACATTATAACCTGATAAACAAAAAGATAGATATAGAGGCAGTAAAGCACCGAACAGACTGTCAAATTACATTGGGAAAGCAGGGCAGTGTTGGGGAGGCAGGGGAAAGAGTTCAAGTGAAGGACTTGTATGCATGCATATAAGCTCAACCAATGGATACAAGACACTGAGGGGGGGAGGGGTATGAGGGCATGCGACCAGGGGTTGGAGAGGCTGGGGGAAGTTCAAGGGGAAAAAGGAAGATATATGTACACTACTACATCTAATACTTTAAACAAAAAAATAAAATAATTGAGAGGGAAAAAAACTAGATCCTTGGATATGAACTCCTAAATTGTTTCTCCTTTGAATGTTATAACAAACTGCTTAGAAGAGAAAATAGGATAAATACCATGGCTTCATAGCAAAAAGAATATTTACAATACTGTGTTTATCTTTAGATACAGAAGTTATGTGTATACAGAAGCAAACATAAATAATCGGCCCTGGTCTCTATTCCAAGTTTTGCCCCTGGGGATATAACAATGAATGGAGAGAAAAGAATAAGGCATGGGATTCAATAACTAGTCCTAAATCTGTCAGTAGAGCTTTCCTGTCCCATCACACATCCTGGATCTGTGTTTAAGACTGCTAAGATCCCATGACCCTTCTGCACTGCTTCTAATGTCTTTAACTTCCTTTTCAGCGTTTTTATTTCAGTTTAGGCTTCATCTGATACTATATCATAAGAGGCACTGATCAGAAACCAGGAACATTTTTGAAGAGTACTGCAGTGCTACAAAGAGGTATGGTTCCATTTTCTAAATGACTCTGTTTCTTTAACTTGCAAAGTATCTTAACAAAGTAACTTCCTTCATCATTTGCACTAAAAGTAAATTCACTTATGTTTACTGCTTGTTTATATTAATCAATTAATAACCATTTTTATGCTATAACTCTTTCAATACTGCATTGTAATTTCTCTACACTCTGAGCCATCACTCCTTGCCCTCATAATACTATGAGCTTCTTGAAGGCAGAGATGGGATATTGGACATGTCAGTATCCACATAGCCTGGTTCTCATTAATGGGGAATTATAGTAATTCTATAAATATGAATTAAATGTTGTTGTAGGCAAGCAAAGCCTTCATCTGTATAATGAGCGGTTTGGACTAAATGATCCCTACCCCTTTAGGATTTATTATTAGTTTGAGAATTTTACAACCTTTTTTAATGGCCTACTTTAACTCAGTTGACTTGATTTTAAAAATAAACAATTGAACCTAAATATAGAAATTACTAGGAAAGCTTATTTTGGTCTGTAAGGACTGGGAAGTTTCTTAAAGGAAATAAAGATCATCTGTTTCTTTGTCTGTTTCTATTAATTTCTTTAACAGTTTTATTTGGCATATTTTATTTAAAGATATGGGAGTTTCAAATGTATTTATACTATTTAACAGACAAATAAATAATTACTCTGTATCAAGATATGGGCGTTTTTTAATCTTATAGTTCCTTCATGATTTAATGCCTTACTTAATAATTTAGGAAGCAACTTTACTTAACAGAGCCACTTTAGACTCTGAGGCTGGAAACATATTTTTTAATTTCTTTATTGATTAAGGTATTACATATGTGTCCTTACCCTCCCCCCCCCCATTTCTCCCCTTTCCCGGATTTGAAAACATTTTTAAGTATATTAGAATGAAAATGTAGAACTAAGTGATTTTGAATAACAAATAATCCTTTCAAACTTGTTCCATCGTTAACAAACTTGTTCACTCAATTAACATTTACTGAGCACTTATGGGCAAGGTACATATGTGTTAGCCCTGTGTGTTGTGCCTTCTTATATATCATCCAGAAAGTCTGTGAGGGAAGATAACACATGCATACAAATCATTGATTTGCAAGATAGATTAAAAGTACCCCAGCAGGGAAAAATATAGAAATTACTTTGGATAGAGGTTGGAAAAATGTTTAGTTAAGAAGGTATAATTTGAACTGAAGGATGAGAAGGGGTTTTTTTGTTTTGTTTTGTTTTGTTTTTTAATATATTTTATTGAGAGCTAGAAACATTGATGAGAGAGAAACATCGACCAGCTGCCTCCTGCACACCCCCTACAGGGGATGTGCCCACAACCAAGGTACATGCCCTTGACGGGAATTGAACCTGAGATCTTTCAGTCCACAGGCCGACGCTCTATCCACTGAGCCAAACCAGTTTTGGCAGGATGAGTAGTTTTTGCACATAGATGGAGGAAAGAGCATTTCCAGAAGAAGAAACTCATGAAAAAAGATAGACAGGTGGGAAAACATGTGAAAAAACTGTTCCTGGTACGGTATATAGCTAAATAGTTTTGCCATTGAATCTTAGGATCTGCAAAGGGGAGAAGTAAGAAAGAAGCTAGGAAAGTTTCATTGCAACCAGACTGTAAAAAGCTTTAATCCAGCCAAGGAATCTGGATTTTTGTCTGAAGCTTCTCAGGAGCCATTGAAGGTTTTAGAGCAAGAACATAACATAATTGGAAGCTAGCATGTATAAAAATTATTTCAGCAAGAGTTTGTGACAGGGTATAGTGGAGGGTCAATAGTGGAAGGACAGATGGTAATTACTTAATACCCTTCAAGTGTACTTCTTAAAACAAAGGCTATGTAAAAAATTTCAACAGCACCATCTAGTGATTCACAACATAACACTGCTCTGTTTAGGGAAAACTCAATACAAGGCTAACAAACAAACAAAAGACTAGATTAAGCGTAGGCAATTTCCCTCTCTTCCTCAATTACACCTGAGTTCAGAGGACAAATGGTGAAAGAGACATGTACTTGGAAAGTAAATTGAGAAATATCGCAGAGGTTGGTAATAGTAAACTAATTTTTCTCTATCATTTTAAGATAAACAGCCTCAGAATGATTCCTCAATTTTTTTTGTCATATACCAACAGTTCTTGGTGAAAATAATGACATTTTTTAATGAAAGGAAAAAATAGAAGTTGGATGGATGGATGGATGGATGGATGGATGGATGGATGGATGGATGGATGACAACATATCTTCACAACAGATACAATTGCTAGCAGTAGTAAGCATAGCTAGTTATAACCCACCTACAACCACTATAGTTCTCTGTTTCATAGATCAATTCCCTCTATTGCTGGCAGTTCTTTCATGCTCAGGCAGTCCTTACAAACCCCAACTCCTCTCTTACCATGGAACAAGAGCTGTGTAAAAGGCCAACAAATTAGGTTTCAATCAAATATTATCTACCATTATTTACTGATGATTTGCTCCCACCTTCTTATAAAGAATAAAGGAAAATAATGTAGAGGAACATTAAAGAAATCACTACCTTATCCCCATTTTATATGATCAGTTTGCCCTGATAAACTGCCCTGATATATTGAACTAAGCTACGCCAAGTAATAACTTCTTGTTATGAAAGAAATTAACATGTATTTTTCAACAGTTAAGGCTTTGAGTGTGAGTCTAGGAAGAGAACAAGGATGAACAGGTACAATATCCTCAGCCAGAAAGTATATTCCAATGAGTTATGCTAGTCTTTCCTCAGAGCCCAAACTTATGGTACAGATTTTAGAAATGCATTTCACCTCTTTGTATTTTCCTTATTAAAATAATTAGATGGCTTCACCGAAGCCGGTTTGGCTCAGTGGATGGAGCGTCGGCCTACGGATTGAAGGATCCCAGGTTCGATTCTGGTCAAGGGCATGTACCTTGGTTGCAGGCACATCCCCAGTGGGAGTGATGCAAGAGGCAGCTGATCAATGATTCTCTCTCATCGATGTTTCTAACCGTCTATCCCTCTCTCTTTCTCTCTGAAAAAAAATCAATAAACTATATTTTTAAAATAATAATAATAATAATTAGATGGCTTCTAAAATGTCTCTAGCCTTGGTGTTCTGTGGTTCTAAACAGAGTCAACCATATTCTAGAATGAAATTATGCCCTAGGGAATGAGTTACATTAATAGAAAATCCAATTATTTTCCCTAGGTAGGAACATCACCCAGCAGATGTTACCTAGGAAGCCCTCTTCTTAGGGGAACCATGAATTTTCACCTACATGTTATTCTCCAAGATTATTCAGTGCTTTTCCAATAAATATATGACTTTAAAAATTGGTAGATAAATAGATCCATATTTATGATACCACTCTCTTTAGAGCTTTTCTTTAATTGAAAAACAAACTCACTTTAAAGAAAGATTTACAGAATAGTACTAGAGTAATAAGACAAAATAAAGCAGAGCTGTTTTAGGTTGTTCTTGAAGATTAAGAGGAAGTCTATCAGGCAAACACAGGTGGAAAAGGAGGTAAGAAAGAGTGCTTCTCCTGGATCCTAAGTGCAGTTGAATTCCTCCTCATTGTCTTAATGCCTTGCTTCCTGCCATGGTCAAAATGCATACATAGTGACCCCATAAAGTGAAAGCTTATTACCTCCTGTTTTTTTATGATCTGATAAAAATTGACAAGATTTTATCTATATATATTGTAGGCAACAAGCAGACATTCCTGGAGAAACATGGATGGACCTGGAAATCTGACAGTATCTTCTGCCAGTGGTATTACTTGCAATGACACCATTGATGACTTCCGCAATCAAGTGTATTCCACCATGTACTCTATGATCTCCGTTGTGGGCTTCTTTGGCAACAGCTTTGTGCTCTATGTCCTCATAAAAACGTATCATGAGAAGTCAGCCTTCCAAATATACATGATTAATTTAGCGATATCAGATCTACTGTGTGTGTGTACACTGCCTCTCCGAGTGGTCTATTATGTTCACAAAGGCATTTGGTTCTTTGGTGACTTTTTGTGCCGCCTCAGCACCTATGCTTTGTATGTCAACCTCTATTGTAGCATCTTCTTTATGACAGCCATGAGCTTTTTCCGGTGCATGGCAATTGTTTTCCCAGTCCAAAACATTAATTTGGTTACACCGAAAAAAGCCAGAGTTGTATGTGTTAGCATTTGGATTTTTGTGATTTTGATCAGTTCTCCTTTTTTAATGGCCACACCTTCTAAAGATGAGAAAAACAATACCAAGTGCTTTGAGCCTCCACAGAATAGTCAAGCTAAAAATCATATTTTGGTCTTGAATTATGTGTCATTGTTTCTTGGATTTATAATTCCTTTTATTATTATAATCGTCTGTTACACAATGATCATTTTGACCTTACTAAAAAATTCAATGAAGAAAAACCTATCAAGTCGTAGAAAGGCTATAGGAATGATTATAATCGTAACAGCTGCCTTTTTGATCAGCTTCATGCCATATCATATTCAACGTGCTATCCACCTTCACTTTTTACACAATGAAGCTAAACCTTGTGATTCTGTCCTTAGGATGCAAAAGTCAGTGGTTATAACCTTGTCTCTGGCTGCATCAAATTGTTGTTTTGACCCTCTCCTATATTTCTTTTCAGGGGGGAACTTTAGGAGAAGGCTATCTACATTTAGAAAGCATTCTTTGTCCAGTATGACTTATGTACCCAAGAAGAAGGCCTCATTGCCAGAAAAAGGAGATGAAATGTGTTAAGAATAGTGTAAACCCATCTCCAATGCAAATCGATGAAAAAGATTCTTGAGCAAGTATTTTCTCAAATAATTTATAATAAAAATAACAATTGCCATTAATAATTTACAAGTAATTAAATGTGGGCCTATAATTCTCTCTCATTTATGTATCTACATTATTGGAGGTCCAAAAAGAATTTTAAGTGTTAAAGTTATAGAGCACAACTATTAACTAAATTATGTATTTGATCATTTGCCAAAAGGTGAAGAATATTTGTGAATTAGCAATCAAAAAAATGGGTTCATGGTCAAGTTTTTCTGCCTCAATTAAAAGAATAAGTAAGAACTAGCCTTTTAAGATACAAAATTAGCAAATAGTTCTCGATTATACTAACATATCTCTTTGCATGCATGCCATCAAATGAGAACTAAAATGACCCATCAGTTGAAACCTGTTTGGCTCAGTGGATACAGCGCCGGCTTGCAGACTGAAGGGTCCCGGGTTCGATTCCGGTCAAGGGCATGTACATGGGTTGCGGGCACATCCCCAGTCGGGGGTGTGCAGAAGGCAGCTGAGTCGATGTTTCTCTATCATTGATGTTTCTAACTATCTGTCCCTTTCCCTTCCTCTCTGTGAAAATCAATAAAATATATTTTTTTAATAAATAAATAAATAAATAAATAAATAAATAAATAAAATTACCCATCAGCTATATAAAATGTACTACCACCTTCCTCCTTTGTAGGATTGACTGGGTAGGCAAAGTAAGGCTATTTATTCCATAAAAGAGAATGTGCAAGTGCTAGAACAGCCTAATAATCAGCCAAAGGCCCTAAAGGCCCTAAAGGTACAGTCTGGAAACTAAAGAAAATAAACCTGGTCAAAGTCTAATTTGTGTCCAATTTTCTTCTGCTTCTTACTCAGACCATCAAAAGAGAATGATGGAGTTTTTGTTAATTTTTGAGGTTCTTATAGAGAATCCCCTCCCTACATGACACACAGACCTTCCTTAAGAAACCAGACAATTGGCATTTCTATATTTAAACAGAAGTAATTAAAAATATATCTAAAGAAGATGAACAGGGGTCTACTTTTCTACATGCTTATTACTGGGATCAAATTTAAGTAAAGTAGTTTTTAGTAAAAATTTAAATGTTTATATTACAAATTGTTTTAAGGAATACTTATATTTATGCATATGTGTATAACTGTGTAAGAGATTTTGCTCTATTATATACATTTATAAGTGAAAGTTAATTATAAGCTTTATTATTGTTTTATACTTTTTTTTTTATTGGCATGTTGAAAAAATATCAAGGATATATTTACAGTGGTTTTTCTATTACAGTGGAAGCTTTGTTCTTTAAACAGCAAAAACAACTTGATTGTGGCTTAAATATAATATTCATAAACAAGCTTTTGTCATAGTGTGGTCTGTTCCTTAATTCTGTGTTTCAAAAGGCACATTACCCCAGAAGAAATAAATAATGGTGAAGAAAAAGTAAAGTTATGAAAGGAAAAGTTCTTTCTAAATGTATATGTTATTTCTATTTTACATCTAATGTTGCAAACGCATAGGGAGTAAAACTCAAAACATACAAAATAGATCTAAAAGGTCAGGAAGGAAGATGGCTGCCGACGGAAAGGCAGCCTGCAAAATAGTGTGTGAGTGAGAAAACAAAGGGAGAGTGTGTGGTCACACTGGGAGTGTTTGTTGGTGAGTTGAGGGACAGCTATACCCTAGGGGACTGTGGGGGACTGCTGGGCAGGGCTCCCCTGACCGGACAGCCCCTACTGCTGCTGGGTTCCCTTCCGGAGCGACTGGATCAGACACAGAGACCGTGCCATCTTGAAGGGGAGAGTTGATGTTATTGGAAGCCTGAAAAGCCCGGGGAATCTACAACTCCAGCACCCAGCGAACAGCTGTCAACCTGGAAACACCAGTCCCCAAGTAGTGCAAGCATGCGGTTTCAGAGGAGCTCTACACTCCCTCACAGAAAAGTCAGATTTCGTCTGGGATAAGGTGAGGTCTCTGGTCCTGGCAGGAGAGAGAAACTCGTTCACTGCAGGAGCTGGAGGACCTGGGGAAGTCTGCGACTAGAAAAATCCATGGCTGTTGGGGCTGGCGTGATCGGTGAATGTGGAAGGGGCTCCTCAGAGCTGCTAACAGAAGGGATCTCTAAAAAGCAACCCATTTTGATCTAACACAAAAGAACAGACTAAAATTTTAAAAAGTGTTCCAGCTGCTTAGACCCAAGCGGCAAAAAAGACTGCACAGACTTGCACGCAACCCCAGTTTGCACCCTTACTCTGGCTCTTTTTTTTTTTTTTCCTCTTTAAACCCTTGCAACTAATTACTAAGCCCAATACTTAGGATCACCCAACTGGAGACACTCTGGGAGATTGCAGGGGAAAGGTGTTTTGTGGAACCTGGGGATCAGAGCCGGAAATAACCGTCAGAGAACCAGATCTGGGGCAACCCACTCCCCAAATCGGTATTAAATGCCACAGGGAAAACAAAATCTAAACACTTGCTAGAGACGACCTATAGAACCATAGGTCAATAGAGAACATTGTCACCCAGGGTTTGAAACACAAATTGACTCTTGTGTAAACACAAATAAAGGAATCTTATCTAATAAAAGAGTAATATGCAAATTAATCATCACTCTGCTACACCTACAAGCCACGCCCACTAGCCAATCAGAGAAAGTATGCAAATTAACCCCAACAAAAATGGCTATGGCCACAGAGAGCAGGAAAGGGGGCTTGGGTTTCCTTGGCAATGGAGGAAGCCAAGCTTTCTGCATATTCTGGCCAGCCAAGGCCTCCACTTAAGGGTACAAAGCTTTAATTATATAAGGTAAACAAATTCCAACAGAAATGGCGGCAACCACTAAGCTGGAAAAGCAGGAGGCAAGGGTTGCTCTGGGCAATGGAAGAAGCCAAGCTTCTGCAGCCCTGGCCGGCTCAGGCCTTCACTCCAGGCTACAAAGTTTCAATTGTAGAAGATACATAAATTCCAACAGAAATGGTTGCCACCACAGAGCAAGCAGGAAGCTTGGCTCTGCTCCAGGCTATGAAGTTTCAATTGTAGAAGATAAATAAATTCCAGATATGAGGGCCTCTGCTTGGGTTGCTGGGAGGCATGGCCTGCCTGCAAACCACCACAGGCCCCTCGCCCAGGCCGCCCCACACCCCAAAGGAACCCCCACCCTGATCCAGGACACCCTTCAGGGCAAACCAGCTGACCTCCACCCATGCACCAGGCCTCTATCCTAGCTAATGCAGATTGACCATCACTCCAACACACAAGATGGCTGCTCCCATGTGGTCAAAGATCTTGCCCCCATGTGAACACCACAAGATGGTCAACAGGGAAGGGCAGTTGGGAGGGACTAGGCCTGCAAGGGAGGGCAGTTGTGGGTGATCAGGAAAGCAGGGGAGGGTAGTTGAAGGCACCAGGCCTGCAGGGGAGGGCAGTTAGGGGTGAGCAGGCCAGCAGAGAAGAGAAATTGGGGGCAAACAGGTTGACAGGGGAGCAGTTAGACATCAATCAGGCTGGCATGGGAGTGGTTAGGGGGTGATCAGGCTTGCAGGCAGAAGTGATTAGGGGCAATCAGGAATACAGGCAGGTGAGCAGTTGGGAGCCAGCAGTGCTGGATTGTGAAAGCAGTCCCAGATTGGAGAGGGTGCAAGCTGAGCTGAGAGACACCCACCTCCCTGTGCATGAATTGTGTGCACTGGGCCTCTAGTCCTATCAAATAAAAGATAAACATGCAAATTGACCATACCTTCGCTATGCCCACAAGCCACACCCACCAGCCAATCAGGGTGAGTTGTGAATTAACCCAACCAAGATGGTGGTTAATTTGTGTATCCAGGCCAGAGCAAAGACTGAAGACAGCATAGAAAGAAGCCATGCACTGCAGAAGGGAGCAAAGCTGTGGAGAAGCAAGCAAACGGGGAAGGGGAGAAGGGAGAGAAGTAGGCGTCGGGGAGAAGGGAAGGAAGCAGGCAAGGTGTCGGAGGAGATCACAGTAGGAATCTTCCTGCAATGGGCCTCTAGTATAAGAAATAAAGACATAATGCCTGCTTAAAAATCAGGACTGGCTTACAACACTGAGTAGCAGTGAAATAAAGGAAACTTCAATACTGTCCTGACTAGGAAACAGGTGTGCCAAACAGAACAGTAGAGGAAGTGAATGACCTTCACTACTGCACTTTTTTTTTTCATCTTTTACTTAAGAAACTAATTTTTTCTTCTTTTTTATTCACTTGATTTTACCTTTTTAATTATTACATTTTTATTTTCAATCATTATTTTAACTTTTTTTTTTTAAAAGTGTCATTTTATTTTCTCTTTATTTTACTTTGGAATTAGTGTTCTACATTCTATTTTCATCTTTCCTTTAGCATCATTTTACTCTATCTCAACTTTACCTTTATGCCAACACTCTCTTCCTCACTTTTCCCCTTTTGTGTTCTGTCCCTCTTACCCTATTCCTGTTTTAGATTTTCCCTAATCCTTCTATTTACCCTGTTAAAATTTCACCCTTGATATATATCTAATTTACAATCCTCTGCTCCAAGTCCATACACACCGCTCTCTTTCTTCACTATCCAATTTTTTTCTCCCTGTCCTTTTGTTGTTGTTTGTTTGACTGTTGATTATATTGATTTTTTTTTTATGCTTGTTTGTGAGATTGTTTTGCTTTTGCTTTTTGGTTTTTGTTTTGTTTTTGTTTGTTTTTTGCTTCTATTTTCCCTCACCTCATTTGATATTAGTTGTGGTTTGTAGTTTTGCATTCATCTCCAGGTACTTGTTGCTGGCATGTGTTGGGAATAGTGGCTATTCTATTGGATTTTTCTCCCCATATATATAGTTTCCCCCCCCCCTTCTTTCTTAATCTCTTTCTTTTCTCTCTTACTTTTTTTCCCTTTTCCCAATTTTATTTTTGCACTCTTTTTTCTCTCTTCTTTCTCTCCTATACTCTAATTAATCTTTGATTTTTTTCCTCTATGTCTTTTATTTCTGCTCTGATCTTTGTTATTTCCTCCCTTCTGATAACTCTGGGCTTTTCTTTTGCTCTCTTTCTAACCATAAACAAAACAACAAAAAAGCCCACTGAATGGGAGAACACATTTGCCAATGTTATCTCCCAATGTTGGGTTTAATCTCCAAAATTTACAGGGAACTCATACAACTTAACAAAAGGAAGATAAACAACCCAATCAAAAAAATGGGCAACAGACTTTAATAGATACCTTTTGAAAGAGGACATAAGGAAGGTCAAGAGACATATGAAAACATGCTCACAATCACTAATCATCCAAGAGATGCAAATCAAAACAACAATGAAGTACCATCTCACACCTGTCAGAATGGCTATCATCAACAAATCAACAAATGACAAGTGCTGGTGAGGATTCAGAGAAAAAAGGAACCCTCCTACACTGCTGGTGGGAATGCAGATTGGTGCAGTCACTATGGAGAACAGTACGGAGTTTCTTCAAAAAACTAAAAATGGAACTCCCATTTTACCCAGTGATTCCACTTCCAGGAATATATCCCAAGAAACTATAAACAGCAATCAGAAAGGATATATGCACCCCTATGTTCATAACAGCACAATTTACAATAGCTAAGATTTGGAAACAGCGTAAGTGCCTATCAGCAGATGAGTGCATTAGAAAACCAGTGTACATAGACACAATGGAATACTACACTGCTTTAAAAACAAGGTATTTTTACCATTTGTAGCAGCATGGATGGAACTGGAGAGCATTATGCTAAGTGAAATAAGCCAGTCAGTGAAAAAAATACCACATGATCTCACTCATTTATGGATAATAAAGAATATTATAACCTCTTGCACAAAGACAGATATAGAGACAGAGAATCATCTAACAAACTGTCAAATTACAGTGGGAAGAATAGGGAGGGGTGGGAAGTAAGGGATCAACTGAAGGACTTGTATGCATGCATATAAACATAACCAATGGACGCAAGATACTGTGGGGTGAAGGCATGTATGGGAATGGGGTGGAGGGACATTGGGGTGATATGAACACATATGTGATACATTAATCAATTAAATATTGAAAAAAGAAGGAAAAAAGGAACATAAATTCTATATAATAAAGAGGTACTATGCAAATTGACCCTCACACCCTTGCACAAGATGGCCATCCCCATGTGGTCAAAGATGGTGACCACAAGATGGCCGGCAGGGGAGGGTGGTTGTGGGTGATCAGGCTGACAGGGCAGGGCTGTTGGCCAGCAGGGGAGGGCAGTTAGGGGTGACCAAGCCTGCAGGGGAGGGAAGGTGGGAGAGGGTGACCAGGCCTGCTGGAGAGGGAAGTTAGGGCATTTGGGGGAACCAGGCCTGCAGGGGAGGGTAGTTAGGGGCAAATGGGCCAGCAGGGGAGGGTAGTTGGGGGTACTCGGGCTGGCAGGGGAGGGCAGTTGGGGGCAATCAGGCCAGCAGGGGAGCAGTTAGGCATTGATCAGGCTGGCAGGGAAGCAGTTAGCAGGTGATCAGTCTGGCAGGCATACAAGGAGTTGGGAGCCAGCAATTCCAGATTGTTAGAGGGATATCTGACTGCCAATTTAGGCCCGATCTCTGCGGGATCAGGCCTAAACTGGCAGTTGGACATTCCCCAAGGGGTCCCAGATTGTAGAGGGTGCAGACTGGGCTGAGGGACACACACCCCCAGTGCACAAATTTCATGTACTGGCCTCTAGTATAAATAATAAACTGATAATATTATTTAACCAGCAATTATTACATTAAATACCAATGGATTAAGTGTTCCAATTAAAAGATATAGGATATTGCCGAAATCAGTTTGGCTCAGTGGACAGGTCCCAGGTTCGATTTTGGTCAAGGGCACGTATGTTGGTTGCAGGCACATCCCCAGTGGGGGGCGTGCAGGAGGCAGCTGATTGATGTTTCTCTCTCATCGATGTTCCTAACTCTCTCCCTTCCTCTCTGTAAAAAAAAAAAAATCAATAAAATATATATATTTTTAAAAAGATATACAGTATTAACTGAATGGATTAAAAAATGGATTAAAAAAAACTAATTTACTTATATATGTTATCAACAAGGACCCACCTCAGGACAAAAGATACACATAGACTTAAAGTAAAGGATTGGAAAAAGATATTTCATACAAATAGAAATGAAAAACAGGTGGGTTAACAATACTTATATCAGAGTAGATTTTTAAACAAAGGCTATAATAACAAAGAAAGACTCCATGTGATGATAAAGGGATCAATCCAATGATAAATGCATACATCATTCAGATAAAAAAATCAACCAAAAAAAGTAGCCTTAAATGATGCACAGTCTAGATGGAGTCAGGTTTTTAAAGGACTCTGGGTGGGCTTTTTCTGGGGGGAGAATTCTCTGTGCAGGTCTGGATTCCGGAAACTTTGGAGGGGAGAGACAATGGTCTTAGCAAGTGGAATGTGGTCTAAGCAAGTGGAACGTCCAATGTGAAGTGGCCTAAAGGTCAGCTCCCAGGGGCGGGGTATTCAATTCTTTGATCAGACCTAACATGAAAGTCACATCAGTAACACATAATTTTGTAGTAGAAGTATAGCGCGAGTAACATTTGGGATATACTTATGCTAAAAATGTAGTTGTTGATGTGCTATTCAAGTTTGACCCGTGTTCTGTTTTTGACCTGACAATGCTACCACGGGGGCTAGTGGGCGCAGGGCTCCTGAAGGGATCCCAAGGAAACTGAAGGGGCCAAAGTGGCAGCAGTGGGAGGGGGGGTGAGGAGAAGCCCCAGAAAAGACAAGATCGGCCCTTTTGGTACGCTTTTGCAGAGAAGCCTGGCAAGAGGAGCTTCTCAGCTCTTCTAAGTGTTGGCCTGGGCGTTCTCCAGGAAGTTTTGCCCGCACCTTCCGAGCCTACAGGCTCCTCATCATCCCCCTTGGGTAAGGTGACCAGACGTCCCGCTTTTGGCGGGGCAGTCCCGATTTTATCGGGACGTTTTAAAACGCGGCGGGACGCGGGACAAATTGTTAAAAGTCGAGACTGTCCCGCCAAAAGCGGGACATCTGGTCACCTTACCCTTGGGGATGGGGAGCCAGCTGGGAGAAGACGGCCTGCAGAGCATCGCGGAAACCACGCCCGTCGCAGCCCCCGGGGGCGGAGCCTGAGCGCGAGCTCGCGTGCAGCGTTCGGTCCCCGGATGACGGACGGCGCGAGAACATGGAGTCGGGCAAGATGGCGCCTGGCAAGAACGCTCCGCGAGACGCCTTGGTGAGTGCGAAAGACGAGAGGCGGGGCGCAAAGCTCGACACCGCCAGGAACCTGGGAGGCAGGCCTGAGAATAGTCTGGCGCGCTGGCTTCCGCCCAAACTGGGCGGCCCAGAAGGAGGGGGATGGGGTTCTGGTCCCGGGGCGTCCTCCCGCCGCCCGGGAGCCCCGCCGGAGCGCGCCGGCCCGCAGCCAGGCTTTGGCTCGGGGACCTCGGTCCTCGCCATCTCCTCGTCTTGGCGAGCCCCGACGCTCGCGTCCGGAGCTCTGGGGTGAGCCAGCCTCCCCCATCGTCACATGGGAAAATGACAACCAGCTGGAGCCACCCCTGCCCCCGCTGGGAAAACTAAACCTGGCCTTCTCTCTTAGCGCCCCCGCTCCCCCCAAAATACAAGTTTTCAGCAAAGAGGGTACTACGGCATTTGGTGAAGAAAAGGAGGAGTGTAAGTTTGGAGGCCAGAGAACGGGGACCTTGTGTCATAAGTACAAACACTACATGGGTCCAGTCTTGATTTCTAACACCTACATTATGCATCTGGCATTTCTTATTGGAATCCACAGGTGATGGCACAGATCCTGAAGGATATGGGAATTACAGAGTACGAACCAAGAGTTATAAACCAAATGTTGGAGTTTGCTTTCCGTAAGTTAATAAAACACCAGAAATCTGCCTACTTTGTGAATTGGAAGATTGTTTGATTGTAAGGACGTTTTCAACTAAATTACTTTTAACTGTTAACATCATAGAATTCAGCCTAAAGCAGTAAAGAGAGCTCAAGATAAGGGGAAATGCTATTCATACTGAGATATATTTTTAATTAATCATAGAGATAGAACAATTAGATATTAAAAATAAAATGCATAAGCTAATTCAGAAATTAATGGAATCTTCTATTAAGAAAAGTGGCCATAAATATTAAGCTAGTTTCATGTGTAAGAAAATAATGTTTTGTTCTTAAAGGATATGTAACTACAATTCTGGACGATGCAAAAATTTATTCGAGCCACGCTAAGAAACCTAATGTTGATGCAGATGATGTGAGACTGGCAATCCAGTGTCGTGCTGATCAATCTTTTACCTCTCCTCCCCCAAGAGATGTGAGCAAACGTTTATTTAAAGTTAATTTGACTTACAGTTTTTTCATTGTAGTTAAAATAAGGCTTTTTTCTTTTTTCTTTTTTTTTAGTTTTTACTGGATATTGCAAGGCAGAAAAATCAAACCCCTTTACCTCTGATTAAGCCATATGCAGGACCCAGACTGCCACCTGACAGATACTGCTTAATATCTCCAAACTATAGGCTGAAGTCCTTAATTAAAAAGGTAAAAATTAGATAAGAGATCAACCGAAGGACTTGTATACATGCATATAAGTACAATCAATGGACACAAAACTCTGGGGAGGGAGGGTATGTACGGGAGGGGGGGCATTGGTATATGTACAAAAATAATAATTTAATTAAAATATATTATAAAAATAAATTTTAAAAATAGAATAAAAAAAATAAAAAGGTAAAAATTTAATTTTAGTCAATTTAACTCTTTTAAAAGTTGAGTTGTATTAGGGGAATTTGTAAAAAGCAAGTAGATAATACAGTAAATTGAAAGCTAAGATAATTTTATTTACTAGGATTTTTTTTAACTTACTGCTTTTAAAACACCATGTCTGCAGTTAGCTACTATGTTAAAAAAATTATATATATATACACACACACACACACACACACACACACGAAGATTTTTAGAGCTAAAAGGAGCTTCAGTGTTCCTTTAACCCCATGGTCGGCAAACTGCGGCTTGCGAGCCACATGCGGCTCTTTGGCCCTTTGAGTGTGGCTCTTCCACAAAATACCACGGCTTGGGCGAGTCTATTTTGAAGAAGTGGCGTTAGAAGAAGTTTAAGTTTAAAAAATTTCGCTCTCAAAAGAAATTTCAATCGTTGTACTGTTGATACTTGGCTATGTTGACTAATGAGTTTGCCGACTATTGATCTAACCCAACTCTCATATTTTCACATCAGTAAAGTGATCCTGAATTTATCTATGTAGTTAGTAGCAAAGCTAGGACTGATATTCAGGTCTCATAATTTCCAATCTTTCCACTTTACCATAGTTTTTTTTTTTAGTGAAGCCTGATAATATACCATCAGGAATTGGACTTGCTTTCTGAAATATGACCTAAGGCTCTCCCACCACTGAAAAAGTTCTCACATTGGGCTGCTTTTGATGTCTGAAATTCCACTATTTTAAGAGAGTTTACTTTTGGAGGTTTAGATGTTGACTAGTTAAGATAAGATTAAAAATTATAAGGAAGTTACCTATTATCCCCAAATAAGACTACCTTAAACCAAATACTATATAATTATATATGTACATACATACATACATACATATGCATCCATTTATGAAAACCCTAGTTTTAATGTTAGATTTAGAACACCAATAGAACAAAAACAAGACATTCTTACCGTGGATTATCCATTAATAATTCAAATCAACAATCCTAATTTCATTCCTGGTAAGTTTAGGTGTCAAATGTGAACAACATTAAAACTAATTTGTTAAACCCTTAGGGATCTAACCAAGGAAGACTACTTCCACGGTTAAGTGTTGGTGCTGTTAATAGCAGACCTACCACTCCTACTATAGGTAAGTGAGAAGGGAAATGCCTGTTCTGGATGGTAAAGGAGTGCCTCAGCACTTGATTTTGAACTAGAAACCAAATCAAAAGGTGAGTCAGAAATTCCTATATGTGTGTTACCATATTTACATTTACTCATCCTCTAGTAAAGCTATAGATATATTTTATCAGATTTCAAAATGAGAAAGCCACAAATATCTGATCCAAATGAGTATAAATTTGGATATTACCCAATCTTGTGGTTGGTATAAACTCTAATACTAATAGTTTAAGCTGTGTTCTTTCTGCCTCCTATACACATGAAATTGCTAAATACACTCATAGCAGTAGCCAATTTATTATCAGAAATTAGAGAAATTTCTGAATAAATTGACAACAGAATGCAGTAAAAAGAAAGTTTAAAAATGTACAAAAAGTGTTAAGAATATCAAAGGGGAAAAATTCTGTTTTAATACTAACCACTTCAAAAGTAGCATTGATTGTCCAATACCAGGGGTGGGGAATGTCCGGCCCATGGGTCATATAAGGCCTGAGAAATCATTTGGTCTGGCCCTGCCAAAACATTAGGGGTGAGTTAATTAAATGTTTGGCCAAATATAGCAGGCTGATTTGTTTGTTTTTTTGTTAATCCTCAACCAAGGATATTTTTCCATTGGTTTTTAGAAAGAGTGGAAGGGGACAGAGAGGGAAAAACGAGGATGTGAGAGAGACACATAGATTGGTTTGCCTCCTGCAGGATGGTGAGTTACATGTACTTGACCAGAAATGAACCTGGGGGCTGATGCTCTATCCACTGAGCCAAACCGGTTAAGGCAACAGGCTGATTTTTAAATTGATAATTTTTATAGTCCATGAATGATGTTATAAATATCCAAGTGGCCCTTGGCAGAATTAAGGTTCCCCACCCCTGTATACTGACCCCTTCATCAGTGCCCATCCATCATTCTTTGAACATTTCTTGCTTTCTGGCACAAGATGTTCCAAGGTCATCTTATATTTCTACCCCAGTCCTAGAATCAGCCATTTCTCCAAAGAGCTCTGGTTCCTTTTAGTGGAGAATGGTATTTATTTTATTATTAAATTTATTGGGGTGGCATTGGTCAACATGAATATATAGGCTTTAGGTATAGGTTTCAATGTTACAGGATCTGTACATTGTGCCATGTGCTCACCACCCAAAGTCAAATCTTCTCTTGTCACCTTATATTAGAACTCCCTTCTCCATCCACCTACTTCCTTTGGCAACCACCACACTGTTGTTTGTGTTTACAAGTTTTGTTTTATACCACACATATGAGTAAAGTCACCTAGTTCTTAGTTTTTTATTATTGACTTATTTCACTTATTATAATGTTCTCAAGCTGAGAAAGATATTTAGTAGTGGCTGGGGGGCAGGGAGATCAGTCGGGTGGGGAGGTCAGTCGGGGAGGGGGGAAAAGAGACATATGTAAAACTTTAAACAATAAAAAAAGAAACCATTGGCATCTTCTTAATGTCATTGATTAGATAATAAGGAAATCCTATATAATAAAAGACTAATATACAAATAGAATAGTGGAACAACCAGTCACTATGACGCACACTGATCACCAGGGGGCAAACACTCAACGCATGAGCCAGACTCATGGCTGGCGAGCACAGCTGCAGCTGCTGTGGCAGGAGCCTCACCCACCTCAGCAGCAGCACTAAGGACCCCTTGGTGGACATCTCCCGAGGGGTCCTGGACTACAAGAGGGCACAGGCTGGGCTGTGGAGATCCCCTCACCCCAGTGCATGAATGTTGTGGGGCCTCTAGTCTACACTAATAAAAGAGAAAGATGCAAATTGACCATGCCTTTGTGACACCCACCAGCCAATCAGGAGGGAGCGTGCAAATTAACCCAACAAAGGTGCATTAATTTGCATATGCAGGTGCCAAGCAGCCAGGGGTGGGACACAGGCATTCCACACCACCCCAGCCGCTCTGGGCCTCTGGGCAGCGTTGGTAGGAGAAAAGGCGGCTCCAGGCCCTGAGCGAAGGTGGTGCCAGCAGCCAGGGAAAAGAAGGCCCGTTCTTGCACAAATCTTTGTGCATCTGGCCTATAGTATATAAATAATAGATTTAGATTTCCTGATTTCTGTTGTCCTAAATTTTTGCTGGATTTCTTTTACAAAGTATTTTCAGGAAAAAAAATTCCTTTCTCTTTGATCAGTATTGTCTTTTGACTCTTAATGCTTATAACTTGAGTCCTGTAGATGTTATGTAGCTCTGGTATAAGCACCATTTGATTTTTAAGTTGTGTAGATAATCTTTAAATTCTTAGGATATGAAGTTACATTTCAGCATTTTCAAACCAGCCTTCTATAGTATTACTTGTACACTTCTAACTTCATGTGAACTCTGAACAGAAATTTGAATATAAATTTGTGTAAGGTTAGTCATATACTGTTCATCTGTAGTTTCATATTAAGTGAATACACTTTTTTATATTGATTTCAGAGAGGAAGGGAGAGGAGAAGAAGAGAGAGAAGTATCGATGAGAGAGAATCATCGATTGGCTGCCTCCTGCACGCCCCCCCACCACCACCAGGGATTGAACCCATAACCTGGGCATGTGCCCTTGAACAGAATCGAACCCAGGACCCTTCGATCCATAGGCCGACACACTATCGACTGAGCCAAACTGGCTATGGCTGCCCTTTTTTTTTTTTTTTAAGTCTAAGCTGTGGTAATCATTTACATGTGTTTTTAGTAAGTTAACCTATTTAGTTATCAGTTGATTTTTATTCCTAGGTAGGTCACTTCCTGGCCTTTGTGCTATGATCAGTACTATAGTTTTGCCCGGGCGGTATGGCTTAGAGGTTGAGTGTTGACTCAAGAACCAAGGGGCTTTGGGTTCATGTGGTCAGTGCACGTGGGCGGGTTGCAGGCTGGATCCCTAGTAGGGCATGCAGGAGGCAGCTGATTGATGTTTTTCTCTCATCAATGTTTTGTTCCTCTCTCTGAAATCACTAAAAACATATTTTAAAATAAAAGGTGCAATTTTTTAACTTTAAAATTTTTCCCAGTGAGTTTTATAATGCGTTAAGACCTAAGCAACTTACTCTGTTGGAATTTTAAAGCCTAAATTCCATACTTACTTAAATGTTAACAATTTCTTATAGTAATGGCCAAGAAAACACCTACCTACTGTGAATTTTCTTGGCCAAATAAAACCTAAAATGACTGCTTCATTAAACTTCATCAAATTCTTTGGACCGCTTTTTAATACATAAAAGAACTTGCTTAGGTATGAAGATATAAAATTCTCACTTCCTGGGTTTGTAAGAGAAAGCACTAGAACCCAGATTTCTGTGTACTTTTGGGCTTTCTTCCCCCATCAAGGCTTTCTTCTGCTTTGTCCCTGGAGATCATGACAGTTGAAGGGTTTTGGGTTTTTTTCAGTGATAGTTGTAGTTTTTCAAATAACTATCCCTGGACAGGTTGGTTCCAGAGGAAAGGGATATATGGAAAACCTTGCATCCCCAAGGGAAAAACTAGGAACATAGTTTTTTTTTGCATTTGATGACATTAGTTTACATACTGAGTCTTTGAGTCTTGGAAAATTCATTCATTAAGCAAACATTTGTTGAGTGCCTGTTAGGAGCAAGGCACAAAAACCGTGCGCTCACAGGATGAACAAAGTTAGCAGAGGGTTGTACTTGAGGGAACAATATAAGACACTAATATTAAAGCTCCTATAACATAGTAAGGGAATTTCAGAGGATTTTACCTTGGATTAAAGGGTTGAATTAAAATGAGAGGAGTTGGACATGGTTATCTCCAAGATCTCTTTCTACTTAAAAAAAACCTGAATATAAAAAATAAATATTTTTTTTGCCTGAGAACCCCAAAGGGTATATTTGATAGGCATTTGTTAGATGTGTGTTGATTTAACTTCATGGGCATAATAGACTTATAGTTTTCAGCAAATGACAAAAATAAAAAGTGCCATAGAAGGTAATTAATAGAAAATGTGGGTCATTATTCTGCTCGCTTATTTAAACACTCAGTTTTATCATTCCCTGTCACTAAAATTCCATGCCAGTCGCTGTTTGAAGAGCTTTACATGGATTATTTTGTTTCAATTCTCACAGAATCCTATTAAATAGGTACTGCTGTAGATGAAAAAAAAAGAGAGGTACAAAAAGATTAAGTAACTTGCCCAAGCATACTCAGTAGGTGATAAAAGCCTGGATTCAAACACAAGCAGGTGGGCTCCAGAACCTACATCTTTACCACTGCACTATCCTGAAGTTTTAGCAACTAAAATATTGAGTTTGTAAACACCTTTGAAGTTACTTTACTCTTACTTCTAATGATATTTTTACCTTTTATCACCTCCCTATGCTTTGAAGGTAGTTTCTGGTAAACTAAGGAGGGCAGAATATGACTTTTTATAAGTCATCTAATTAACATAGTCTGTTAATTACAACTACAGCAACCCCACAAACAGTGTCTGTTACAAATAAAGTTGTACCTCCAGTATCAGTGACAAGCCAAACATTTACGGTGCAGATTCCACCTTCTCAGTTCACACCTGTCAAACCAGGTAACGTCATGGGTGGAGAAGGGGGGCGGTGTATGAGTGGTTCTTTTAAAATATTTTTTTCTGAATTTAAAATTTCTGAATAATTGGAACAGTTTGTGTTCCTGTAGCAAGAGTTGTTTAAATATCATAAGAAGGTGGCAGTAATGCTGCAAATCTTCAACGGGGTCTATGAACCCACCAAAACTATAATATATGGAATTTTAAGTATATATAACATTTGGGGGTTAGGGAGAATATTCAGTGTGACCATCAGATCTCAAAAAACACTGTGAACTAAAATCAGGGCCCACAAATCTAAGGCAGCTTCAGGAGAAAGCATTTGGGGTTCAAGCTCAAGAAAATGATATAACTGAGTGTAACATCAAAAGAAAAGTGTACCTTTACTCACTTCATGCAAGGAGACATATAAAGTTGGAATAATATAAGTAAAATTCTGT